TTTATGGTTAGGCCAGATAAACCAGGTTTAGGGTGAGGCCAGATAAAACGGGTTTAGGGATAGGCCAGATAAACCAGGTTTAGGGTTAGGGTTAGGCCAGATAAGCCAGGTTTAGTAAAAAAAAAACCTTTGGTTCTCTTTTAAACAGGAGGCAGCCAAGGACGCGCTGGGCCGGATGAAGATGGTGGAGAGTGAGGTGAGAGCGGTCGTACAGACAAACGTCTCCATGGAGAAGAATACAAGCGAAGTCAGTTTGTGTGTTTAAAACATTTTTTTTTATCTGACTCAGCTTGAGACGCTGAAACGTAAACGCACCGGCTGAGGGAGGAGCGGAGCGGGGAGTCGGCCGGAGGACCGTTATCCCTCCATCACACGCGCTAACAAAAGCTTCAGTGGTAACAAAAACAAAACTAACAAATCACCCAAAGTGGGATTTTTACGCCGCTTGTGTCCAAGAAAACTGCATGAGCCGCTCTGCTAACTCTGCCATCCCATAACTACTGTCTCACCTGCCGGAAATATTCAAATAACACATCCAGTGACGAAGGGGGGGGTTAAAGAGGCCGTTTATAGACGGGGAGTTCAGGAGGAATCTTACTTTCTTTGCACTTAAACCGACACTACAGCTAGCTGCTCTCACAGCTTTCCTTCGGGGCGTTTTTGGGGAAGGTTTTACTTTAGAGATTCTATGTTTTACGTTAGACGCCAGCTCTCCGTGTGTGTGTGTGAGTTCTCACTCTGAGGTGTGTCTAATTGTGAGACTGAGGTGGGTTTAACCCTTTCTCACCACGTTAAATGTGCGAAATGAGCTTAATCTAATCTGTCTGCTCCAGTGTTCCCAGATTACAGTAATCTGCCCCGTTTGGAGCGCCGTGATATGGGAATAAAAAAAAAAATCAAAAAGGGGGTGTGGGAGAGCCTCCATCCCCATAGTGAGGGATAAGTGTTTATGTTGCCACGGCGACGGCTGGATCTGGTTGTCACCTCGCCTGTAGGCGTCAGAGCAGAGCCATGAATGTGGCAAAGGGATCTTCATCATCATCATCATTCGCTTCTTCTTCTCGTCTTTTTCACCTCTTGCTTTTGCACTAATTCCTCTCCACGTTCCCAGAGATTATTCGGCTTTAAGTTGTAGGCCGTCCCTCTTTGAGTATCAGGAAAGTCTTTAACAACACAAAGCCCAATTTTTGCTGTCAGTTAGGTTTGAATTAAGGGTCTCAGACGGCGTCTCGGCTCAGAGGGACGAGGCGACATCCTGGAACATTTCATTTGTGGAGAAAACAGCAGATATTTTTAAAAAGTGTGGTTAGTGGTTGATGCTCTGGACAGATGCTGTTAACCCGTATCCACTCCGGACCCGTAACACGTCTTTAAAACGAGCCAAACTCCGTCGTTATTTGTTTGTTTGCCACTTCTGTGTGTCGCGTAGCTCCGTTAACAGTTTTGTGGCCATAATCATGCGTTGGGAGTAATCTCCTTTCCTCCATTAGAAACTAATCCTGGTTGAAGTTGGGCCTCTGTAATGCAGAGGTTTACGTAACACCCCTTCGTTTTTAATCAAGAATGGATATCCTCTGAGTCGGAGTGTTTTTGGCCACCGGCTGATCTTTTACACAGACGGACAGAGCCGGCGTAAGAAGCTTTTCATGGTATTCAAACGCACGGTTTCAGATCTTTTGATGCCATTTCCACTCATTTCAGCCTGGCCCAGAACTCCTTTTACACACATTTTATACTTGAGCTGGAGCCTGATGAGTCCACATTAGTGTTTGTCTGGATGCATTGTTACCAGTTGATCTAGAAGCTTTGGAAAAGGGAAGAAAAATACTGTAACTATGACAATCGGTGGTGGAGACTCACATCTTCTGCTGTTTTTAAGGCGTTCTGCTTCTGGGAAGCTGCTTGAAATTAAAAGGCAAAAAACTCACATTCCACTCATTTTAGATCCAACCTGATGGATTTTCCAGTTTGCGTCTGGTAAATCATCCATCCGACTCACGTGCCTGTGGAGGCTTTAGGTCAGAGGTCACAGATGCTAATCAGAAAGCCAAACATCAGAACTTTACACCCAAAGTAAGGAGCTCGGTAGTCACATAATCATCTCAACGAAGAGCTAACAGGCACCTCTTATTAAGTAAAACGAGAGAAAACGAGGGAAATATCAACGGTGTTGTGTCCCTGCCTAAAATACAGAAACCTACTCTTCTACTTGGGCATTAAGTCTGTGTTTTTGTGGGAGGGAAATTCCACTTTTACTGCCTCGTGATGATCAGTCGCACCAGGGGAAAGGCCGGAAAACAAAGTCAAATAAACACACTACAGTTTTTAAACTACGGTTAACTTTTTGTTTTTCATTTCTTGTTATTAAAACATTGATTTTCGAGAACATTCCCTTAAAAGCCCCAAACCTTGAGATATTTGGTTTAGACTAAAAGCTTTGCGGCTAGAGTTAGGGGCAGTTTTTTGGAGCTAAACTTTGAACCTTGAAGCACTTTCAGGACCTTTAACACAGTGATGTTTTCTGTTTTTATGTCTTAAACTCACGTTTTTTGCGGGCTGTGAAATGAAAGAGAAACGGAGGCTGCTGAGCACAGGTGGTTTACATAAGAAACTAATTAAAAAAAGGATGCAGCCTAAAAACTGGATGCTTTAACACAGACTCCCAAAACCGAGTCTCGTCTTCCCGCTCCTCGAATAACCTTCTGGCCTGTGAGGCCGTCCCGTTGTCATGGCAACTGGCTCATCAGCATTCAGCGTGGTCGGACAGGGGAAGAAGGACATATTGTTAAAATTTGTCCTGCTGGTGACTCACACTCATCTCATACATCCACAACACACACACACACTCCTTTGAGTTTTTTTTCTTTTTACTCATTTGATTTCCTCTTTTCCTGTTTTGTTTTTGTGTATTTTTTAAGGGTTTTTTTCTTTTCTGATCAGTTGGGGCAAGTGTATCGTTTACCGTTTTATTCTCCTAATGCTGGAAAAGGGCAATCAGTATAAATGTAGTATTTATATACAGTGTGTATGCAGCGTCATATGCTCCCTCTCTATTTTTAAATGATTGCAGCTCAGACTGGGAATGTGTGACGGCCTGATTGTTCAGGCTTTATTATCTAATGTATGCGGCTGGTATGACATGAATAAAATGGTGAAAAAATAAAATGGTGTTTTCTTTGAACTGAGGATATATCCTTGACTGTATTTCTCTTTATTTAGAGCTTGTGGATCCTTCATAAATTTGATTTTCTGACCTTAAAACCTCTCTTTATAGATTATAAACCATATTTTTGTTGATTTTAACTACACTGCGTCTATATTTGATGGAAAAACGGTGGGTTTTTGATAATGAAATCTACTAAAACAGCAGAAGGGAGGAACCTTCCCCCAATGGACATGAACAATACACGCACCTTAGTTTAGGTTTGTCTTCAACTCAATTGTTTCTTTTCGCAATGAACTCAGTGCAATATTCATTGATGTTTCTTTTGTAATAACTGTGCAATAATACGTACATATATGCTCTTACCCTGTATATATCTAGATCTTAGATATAAAAAACATATTTATTAAGTAGGAATAAGGTCTTAGCTCTATCACACTAGTAGCCAAGTAATCGACATTTCGTTGTCAAGATTCACCTTGTGTTATTTGTACAACACAATAAAATCTAGTCTAAGTCTAAGTTTCCAAAACCTGGTTCTGAAACAATGAAGGCAGAGCCCAGAATAGAGCTCCGGGTTAGGGTCTTTGCTGTTATGCTAATGAGGGAGAAATTTCCCCAGACAGACAAAGGGGGGAAGATAGGAGGGGGGGATGGTGCTCGGGAACTGGAAAAAAAAGGGGGGGAAGCTTTGATTTGGGGAAAATAAAAAAAAATCGGGCACCCCGTGAGAGCTCGGTGGGCGTGGCCTGGGAACGGAGGACTTCCTGGTCGGTGAGCACGTGGTTCCGTGTCTGCCTTCCTGTTGTCTGTCACCGACTGAAGGTTTCCAGCCTTCCGCTCTCACTCTTCTCCCTCTTCTCCTCCCGAGCAGCAGGAGCGGACCTCCTCCTCCTCCTCCTCCTCCTCCCCCTTCCCCGCCTTCCTGCCTCCTTTTTCGGCCATGACGCTGGAAGCGATCCGCTACCGGAGCGGCTCCCTGCAGGTGCTCAACCAGCTGCTGCTGCCCCACCAGACCGTGCACGAGGACATCCGCTCCGTGCACGACGCCTACGAGGCCATCAAGTCCATGAAGGTACGGGGCTCTCGTGTCCTTTGCGCACGCACGCACGCACGCGCACTCCCCCCCTTTCCCTTTCCTCTGCGTCCGCACGTGCGGCCGTCCCCGTCATGCATGTGCTTTCCTTCGGCTCTTTTGTGCTCCCTGCACGCGCGCGGCCTCCGCTGGATTTTTGTTTTGGGTGCACCTAAGAGCCTATACCTACCCCTCTACACGCTCACGCGCACACACACGCACGCACACACCCCTTTCTATAAAAAAACACTAATTCATTTCTAGTTTTCCTGTTGTGAGGTTGAAAAAAAACACACAAAAAAACAGGTATCCGCAGAGATACCCACCCATAAAGCCCCCCCCCCCCCCCTCTCTCTTTCTCTGGGAGAGATTATTGATGAATTATTAATGACCTTTGCCAGGGTTTTTGTTCGGCTTTGCTCTCCGGCTCCTCAGCATCTCTCATCCCTGGAAAAATGGAGCTGCTCCACCTTTAAGTTTCCGAAGATCCTGGAGCTTTTCACCCCTTTTTTCCAGGGTTTTTTAAAAGAGTGGAGCCCCAGTTTTGAGCAGCCGGCTGCCGGTTCAGCGTGGTAAAATCTGTTCTTTAGTTGGAAGCCTGAGAATAAACCAGAGTAGATCAAAAGTACAAATATGGAATTTATTGGTCAGAAGCAAAGTAAATCAGCTGGGCTCTCACAGACAAAGCTCCCGGAGGATCTCAGTTGGCAAAGAGCCTCGATTTCCGGGTGTGATGGACAGTTATCGTGTGGGCCTCCAACAGGAGGACGAGTTTTATTGGCCAGTTAGCTCTGACAGGAACAGGCCAGGTCCTAATTCGTGCAGGTTTAGGTGGAATGTGATAAGAAAGTGTGAATGTTGACCATAACTCATTGGCTGCCAAAGACGTCTATAGACGTCTTTTATGTTTTTCAATGAGAGTGGCTGGGGGACGATCTGCTAAAGCTAGTCCGTAAATATCAGGCTTCTAGACAGAGTATGTAGTAACAAATTGACCCTCTAGGGGGCCACTTTTGATGGGAGATGAGCATAGACTGTAGGCAAATAAGAAAAAGGTAACGGTTCGCTATGACGCCGGTGAGACGCAAGTCGAGGAAGAACGGAATAAGGTAGAAACAATTTTTTTTTGTCCTGATGAAAGAAGAGAGTCTACTCTTTCTTTTGGTGTGTTCGGTGTTTACATAGTCATAGCACAAACTATTCTGTGGTTCTTGAAAAATCAGTCAAAATGCTCAAAAAACTCTGGCAGTCAATGAGTTAAAGACGAGTATCTACTGTAACAGAGAGAGGAGGAGGCACAGCCAGAGAGTTTAACCCCAAAAGTATAATTATAAAGGGGAATAATATCAATCTAAAAAGGAATAACACAATAAGTCATTTACACGGATTAAGTTATAGCATGCTATGCTAAAGTGAGTAATTATAGCCCAATTCTAACAGTGTGTGATGTCACAGTGGCGTCCAGGAATGACCTCAGCTCAGATGATGTCATTTCTGCTCCGGCGGGGGGGTATGTGTCAGGGTTAAATCCAAAACATTAGTAAACACACAATGCAGGAGAAAACAGACAGACTAATCAAAATGGCCGACTTGGATGTGGGCGGAGTTGGATATGTACTTGATTAATGGTAGCATGTTATTATTAGCCATTAGCCGCAGCTAGCAAGGCTAACGTTTGTTAATGATCATAAACAACGTAAATAAATACATAAATAAATCAGAGAGAAGGGGGGGGCGGTGGTATCGATACTTTTGAAAATGAGTATCGCATCAGGATACAACATTTTAGTATCGATACTTTTGACAACCCATGGCTCAGGGTGGGCGGCCATTGCAACAGTGTGATGTAGGGGTAGGACGGTTCACAAAATCCACGGTTCGGTTCGATTCACGGTTTCGTGGTCACGGTGTTCGGTTCGGTATATGTTGATTCTTAGGAAAATCTATTATGTCTTGTATAGTCAGGTTAAAACTGAAAGAAAAAAGAAGTCTAACATTTGATACATTATTGTGACAGTCCTAGGTTAAAAGTAGGTGAGATTCTGGCATTGCAAGAGAGGAAACAGTGCTAATTCCAACATGTGCTTCCCTCTAAATGCAAAGTGGTCCCATACAGCAGACCTAGAAACTGCTGTTGGCGCGTCAGATTTTTTTTATCGGCTACGCTGCTTCTTCTTCTTCTTGTTTCCTGCTGGTGGTTGGCTTTGGGCTCAGTAGCGCCCCCTTCTGCTCTGGAGTGTAAACGCTTCCCTCTGAGAAAAAGGAGCAGCATGAACCGAGCGCAACACATGCGAACCGAACCGAGACAGTCCAACCCAACGGTTCAGACGGTTTTCAGAAACCGTCCCATCCCTATTGGTAACATGTTATTATTAGCCATTAGCCGCAGCTAGCAAGGCTAACGTTTGTTAATGATCATAAACAACGTAAATAAATACATAAATAAATCAGAGAGAAGGGTTGGGCGGTGGTATTGATACTTTTGAAAATGAGTATCGCATCCGGATACAACATTTTAGTATCGATACTTTTGACAACCCTAGGCTCAGGGTGGGCGGCCATTGCAACAGTGTCTTGTGTTGTGGTGATAATGGTGTTTTCTGATGTGCTCAAATGGCCTGTACAGCGCTTTGATTTTAGCTTTGGCTGACTGAAAGTGGTTTATAAATAACGTTGAGTTGAGTTGATGTCATCGGCTTATTCTCTGGCCCGCTTCATTTTCAGTTCAGTTTATTCGAACAACAAAACAATATAAGATGTCTAAATACAACACAACACAATGAATACATAACACAATGAATACATAAACCATAATAAATTGTTCGAAAAGGAATGGGACGAAGTATAAACTTTTAAGTTTCCCATCCCTAATGATTCAAGTGACCTAAGTTGCTCATTTAATTAGTTACATTCACTCTTCCATATTAATCTACCTGTTTTTTATCTTTCCTCGTCTACATATTTATCCAAAAGTAATTTTTTGTACCTTCTCTTAAACAAATTTATGTTCATTTTGTTTTCAACCCTGGTCTCTCGCGACACGAGGCGCGTTCTCGTTCTCACGCTGTGTTCAAGTTACAGTAAAGCGCTAGCAGTTAATCGTGATTAATACATTTTGATCGAGCAACCTCTTGATCGACAATTAATCTAAAGTCGATTAACCGTTTGCATCCCTAACGCGAACCGAACCGAGACAGTCGAACCCAACGGTTCGGACGGTTTTCAGAAACCGTCCCATCCCTAGTGTGATGTCATCGGTAGGGCTGCAACTAACAACTATTTTAATAGTCGACTAGTCACCGACTATTGAAACGATTAGTCGACTAATCGAATAGTTATTCACTTTTTCTTAAAAATAGCATAAAGTTGCTTTAGTTAAGTGGAAAATGATAAACACAAGAAAAATGGGTACTTCAATGAAAAATGCATCTTTTATTCAACTTTGCAGCTGATACAAAACGTAAATAAGAATGCGTTTGTCAGGCACAGTCAGGCATAACGTTAAAGCTCTCTTTTAAAGTGAAAAAACGCTTAGAAAATGTATAACGTACATAAAAGACAAAACATATTAGCATTATTGTTGCTTAAATCTTACCGAGGCGAGTCAGACTCCGTTTCATTTAAGTGCCCAACATGCTTTCTTTTTAAATGCTCATGCATCACCGAGGTGCTGCCGTGATACGCAAGGTCTGTTTTGCAAACCTTGCACGTAATTTTTTTACTCGTTGTATCAAGGATAAAATGCTCCCAAACTTTGGAAGTTTTTGTACGCGTGTTGGACGCCGCCATTTCTGTAACTGCGACGCTGTTGTGCAGGTGACTCTGGGCAGATTGTAATTAAGTGAGATGTCTCACTCTGTTGGAAAAACACGTCTGGCGACAATAGTCGACAATGGAATTCATTGTCGACTTTTTCTATTATCGATTTTTGTCGACAACATCGACGAATCGTTGCAGCCCTATTAGCCATTAGCCGCAGCTAGCAAGGCTAACGTTTGTTAATGATCATAAACAACGTAAATAAATACATAAATAAATCAGAGAGAAGGGTTGGGCGGTGGTATTGATACTTTTGAAAATGAGTATCGCATCCGGATACAACATTTTAGTATCGATACTTTTGACAACCCTAGGCTCAGGGTGGGCGGCCATTGCAACAGTGTCTTGTGTTGTGGTGATAATTGTGTTTTCTGATCTGCTCAAATGGCCTGTACAGCGCTTTGATTTTAGCTTTGGCTGACTGAAAGCGCTTTATAAAATGAGTTGAGTTGAGTTGATGTCATCGGCTTATTCTCTGGTCCCGTCCCCAGGTGCGCGGGGCCCCGGCCATCGCCATCGTGGGCTGCCTGAGCCTGGCGGTGGAGCTGCGGGCGGGCGCCGGGGGCGACGACCCCGTGGCGTTTATCCGGGAGTCTCTGTGTCACCTGACCTCGGCGCGGCCCACCGCCGTCAACATGGGCCGCGCCGCCCGCGAGCTGATGGAGTTCGCCGAGAACGAGAGCATGGAGAAGAACTCGGAGCAGCTCCGGGAAAGGTGGGTTAGGGTCAGGTTTAGGGGGGTGGGTTAGGTTTAGTTTAGTTTAGTTTTTATTAGGATCCCTGTCAAGTTTTCTGGCCTCTACAAATCACCTTAGCTTCTGCCCAAACTTGACAAGGGCTTGCTCCCATCAAAGAAATCCAGGACCAACTCTTCTCAGTGTCATCTTTTCATTTTATTTCTCTTTTCTCTTTTTTTCTTTAAATCACTGTACTTTTCAATACATGACACCCAAGCAGGTTGAAAACCTACAAACAAACAAATGACAAATTACTTTTAAGTCATCAAGAAAAACAAACAAAATAAACTACTTTCATAAATCCATTTTTGTAAAGCCAGCTAAGTCCTCCGAATACAGGTTTAAAGTTCAGTTCCTACCAGTGGTATTTCTGCAGGAACTTGAAGATGAGGTCTTTGTTTGTAGAGATTCCTTCAACACAGGTGTGCTGAATAGACTTTTAGGCTCTTGAAGGCCTGAGTGAGAGACGGGTGTGCTTGATTTTCTGTAGGCCACGTGCCAGCTGGGTGGAGATGGTATTGCACTCACACAAATACACCAATTGCTGTATTACCTTGACAATCCCCATTAGCTGCCAAATTTTTTATTTATTTATTTGAATAGGGACAAAGCACATTAATGAACATCAGTAAAAAACTAATGTAAATATGCCGGATTATAGCTACAAATCTAATTTTCATCCGTAGTCCCTAGGCAGGCAAAGGCATAAAAAATTCATTCATTCATTAATTTAGTTTATTTTGAAACATGATATGATTTTACAATATTTACATACAATGCTTCCTAAACATGCATCATATTTAAAAAAGGAGCAGGATGAAGCATAAGCTTAAAAATAACATATAATAAACAATATAAGCAATAAATGGCCACTAGTCTTCCTGGGGTCCTCACATGAAGAAATTAATTACATTTTAAACAAATCATAAAAAAATAAAAATCACAATAGGAAATAATAAAAACATAAACAAGAGTAGAACTAAACGACATATATACACAGGTCAGTTCATCATATCATCTGCAGTAGTTCTGAAGAAAGTATATTTTTGAAGCTTGTTCTGTTCTGAACTCTTCCTGTGGTGGATAGGAGCCTCAGGGCTTCAAATTCAGGGTTCAAAACGACCGATCTACCAGACTTTACTGTCCAGGTGTGAGAAAATCTGAAAGTCTGAAATCCAAGGAGCAGGACAGGTCAGCAAATGGAGTTTTTATATCAAATACATGCAAAATAAACAGGGAATCAACCAAAAAACAAAATGTTTTTGTTTGAGATCCATCGTCCTCCATGTTATCTTGCAGTTTATCATAAATGTTATAAAATCGTTGGAGGCATGACGTGGTTTCACCGCCAAGCGATAGGAACTGAAAATGTTTTTAATAATATTATATTATAGCACAGAGACCACAGTAAGGACGTCCTGATCCAGCTTTTTGTACTTCCAATCTTATCCCGGCCTATCAGAGCATGTACTAAAGTTTAAAGTTATTTATCTACTTACTTAGTTGTCAAACTCGAGTGGAGGGAACCTGAATGCATCGTGAAACTTTGAGAGACACTTTAAGGTGTGAGCTTTCCGTTTGGATTTTTCTTCTCAGCTTTGCTGCTGCAACACCTTTTAATTCAGGCGTTTTCTTGATTAAGTTGTGAAAGGTATCAGTTTGGATGGATGAAAAGTGAAAATCTGGAAGCCTGTTAACTTTTTTTTTTAAATACTTTATTTTGAAATGTTCAATTTTGAAAGAACAATACCACTTAGTCCCATTCAAATAAAACCAAAACAATATATAGTACGGAAAATAATATTAACGCTGACTTAAAATACGGGTTATTAAAAAGGAATTGTCAACTTATTAGTGGAAAGAAAATTAAGTAAAACAAATAAATGAAAAATAAACAAACCAGCCAAGAAATACTAATCTAAATAAGACAAATTCACAGGGTGGTCCTCGGGTTGGACTTTCCTCTCCCTGAGTGTCCAGGAAATTGGATTTTAATGCAATAAGACGGACATTAAAGCGGAGCATTAGAGGCGGAGTGGAATACAAGTCGATGCCCGCCGGACCCGGATGGGCGGCGGCTGCTGATGGTGGTCGGAAACTCGAGAGAAAGGCGTCGGTGAAGTGGATCAGGAGAATCCATCAGGCCGGCTCCGTTTCTCAACTCCCGGCTGAAACTGAACCGTTTCACTGATCATTTTGGGCCTAGTTGTGGATTTATCCGCTCGGGGAAACCCGGAGCTGCAGACCCGTCTTAAAGGGGACATTTTATGCAAAACAGCCTTATTGTCAGACTGATAACTGGAATATTGTGTGTACTTTGTTAGTCGCCTTGGAAAAAATCGACTAAATGCAGAAACATAAACTTAAAATCCCTCAAAACAGCTTTAAAAGACAAAAAACTGCTTCAAAAGCCCCCAAAACAGTTTTAAAGCCCCCAAAAACAGCTTTAAAAGACACAAAAACGTTTTTAAATCCCCAAAACAGCTTTAAAAGACAAAAAAAACAGCTTTAAAAGATACAAAAACAGCTTTAAAAGACAAAGAAACTGATTTAGAAGATACAAAAACAGCTTTAAAACCCCAAAACAGCCTTATTGTCAGACTATTGTCGCTTTGGATAAAAGCGTCTAAATGCAGAAACAGAAACATAAAGACTTCTCAGCTCTTTATTGAACTCTATTTTTACTTGTAAGACGATGGAAGCTTTTCAGCCGTGATGTTTCTGATAGATCGATTGATCGATTGATTGATTGACTGATCTCTGCCCCCCCCCCCCCACAGTGTGATTTCCTGGATCGAGGACATGCTGGAGCGTGATGTGAACGACAACAGGAAGATCGGTAACTATGGCGCCCAGCACATCCTGTCGGGCGTCCCCCGGGACTCGGTGACCGTCCTGACCCACTGCAACACGGGGTCGCTGGCCACCGCCGGATACGGGACCGCGCTGGGTGAGTGGGGGGCGGGGCCTAACGGCGGGGGGCGGGGCCTAACGGCGGGTGGGCGGGGTCTAACGGGGGCGGGCGGGGCCTAACGGCGTGCTGACCGGTGTCGTGGAGAATTTTCTTTTGTTTCTTTGTTAAAGCTACTGGTTGTTGACTCCTTTAGGTCGGTGTTTTTCAACCTTTTTTGACCCAAGGTACATTTTTTCATTGAAATAATCACGAGGCACACCACCAACCAAAAATGTCAAACAAATCTGTAGCCGCCTATAGTAACACTATAGTTATTCTTATCTTATCAAGTAATCGACATTTCGTTGTCAAGATTCACCTTGTGTTTTTTGTACAATGACAATAAAGGAAGTCTAAGTCTTATCTTAAGTGTCTTGAATAGGAATCAAATAAACACTAAAATGTATTTTTATCATATTTTTTTATTTCTTCTTTCAAATTGCTCTTAACATGTCCACTTCAATATACAAAATTATATTAAAAAATCTAGTCATAAGGAATTATTACATGATTACGCCACCAGTCACTAGTACAGCACAGACACTCAAAAATGGCATACTATTTGAAGATAATTAATTCCTTATCAAAAAATCTTTTTAGACCAATTAGGTGAAATAGGATGATTTTCTACGGCACACCTGACCATCACTCGCGGCACACTAGTGTACCGAGGCACAGTGGTTGAAAAACACTATGTTAGGGAGAGTCGTCTCACATGTCTGGAGACTGTGGTTTTTGCACCAGTAGGAAATGCAACAATTTCCTTAATCCCATCTAGGATGAATCTCCCATTCCTGTGTTTATCATTGAAATTGTACGACTCGCCTTTTGTGCTATCACCAAAAAAATATTTATTACTCACAATTTGGAAGGGTGGAGGGTCAGGGTTAGGGTTAGGGTCATTAATACGGGCCACCAGTCACGATATCATCAGTAATAGGTCAGTTTGAAATGAAAGACACTAACCTGTCAAAATTCAGTTAAATTTTGGGGTCTTTGTTTTTATCCTTGTGGTATCGAAAATGGTATAGAGTATTTTCCTGAGTATCGGTATCGAGTTTAAAATTTTAGTATCGTGACAACCCTAGTTGCTGATAAGAAACACAGTGGCCTTTTTCCATTCCTTTATCCATACTATGTTATATAAGTGAACGTGCCTTTCCATCGGAGCGCACTCACTTGAGTTTACTCTGTGACCTGCGTCTTCGAACGCTCTTGCCTTCAAATAAATCTCTTTATTGGACAAGATCGATCTTCTCCAATTATTAACTCATTGACTGCCAGCCATTTTCAGAACAGATTCCCATACTGCCAGAGTTTTTTTTAGCATTTTGACTGAATTTTCAAGAGCCACAGAATAGTTTGTGCTATGACTATGTAAACACCGAACACACCAAAAGAAAGAGTGGACTCTCTTCTTTCATCAGGAAAAAAAATGTGTTTCTACCTTATTCCGTTCTGCCTCGACTTGCGTCTCACCGGCGACATGTTCTCTCATATCGAACCGTTAGCTTCTTCTTATTTGCCTACAGTCTATGCTCATCTCCCATCAAAAGTGGCACTGCCCCCTAGAGGGTCAATTTGTTACTACATACTCTGTCTAGAAGCCCGATATTTACGGACAAGCTTTAGCAGATCGTCCCCAAGCCACTCTCGTTGAAAAACATAAAAGACGTCTATAGACGTCTTTGGCAGTCAACGGTTGTATTTGAATTGACGTCTATAGGCGTCTTTGGCAGCCAATGAGTTAAGAAACTTTGCCTCACTCATTTAAATATTTTTTTCCATAACCCCGGTGTTGCAGGCGTGGTGCGGAGCCTGCACGGCCTCGGCCGGCTGAAGCGGGTTTACTGCACCGAGACCCGGCCGTACAACCAGGGCTCCCGGCTGACGGCGTACGAGGCCGTTGCCGAGGGGATTCCCGCCACGCTCATCACCGACAGCATGGCCGCGCTCACCATGAGGGAGATGGACATCACAGGTGGGGGCGTGTGTGTGTGTGTTAAGGATGTCCCAATCAAGCTTTTTTCACTCCGATCCCGGCCTATCAGAGCCTGTACTAAAGTTTAAAGTTATTTATCTACTTACTTAGTTGTCAGACTCATGTTGAACTGGAATTTACTCTGATAACAACTAGCAGCTGAATTATGGGAGTTTGAAAAACACATACTGGTTGGTAAAGAGACACTGACCTGTTTATTCAGGGATAAACACAAAATAGACTAAAATATAAATAACTGAAATAACAGAAACGGCATCAGTGAACAGTAAAAAGTGCAAATAATATTGTAAACTGTATTAAAAAGGCAAAACACACAAACAACCTGAATAGAAAATAGTCTATTAACTCTGTTTTACATCCACCTCTTAGCCTTTTAGTCCTTAAGGATAAAATAATTCCACACCAACTGACGTTCGGATCGGGACCGGCCTAATGTGTGTGGTAGGTTAGATCCAGACTCCCGATCCAGTCCAATCTGTTTAAAATAATCCATTACTGATGCTGAGTTAATAGACTATTTTCTATTCAGATTGTTTGTGTGTTTTGCCTTTTTAATACAGTTTACAATCTTATTTATTATTAATATTATTACAGGTCAGTGTCTCTTTACCAACCAGTGTGTGTTATTCAGACTCCCCTAATTCAGCTGCTAGTTGTTATCAGAGTAAATCCCTGTTCAACATGAGTCTGACAACTAAGTAAGTAGATAAATAACTTTAAACTTTAACACATGCTCTGATAGGCCGGGGTCGGTATCAGATCTGAGTGAAAAAAGCTGGATGGGGACATTCTTAGTATGGCGTCTCTTCTTCCCTCTGCTGAAATTAACACCTTCTTTCCCCCCCCCCCCCCCCCAGCCGTGGTGGTGGGCGCCGACCGGGTGGTTGCCAACGGCGACACGGCCAACAAGGTGGGCACGTACCAGCTGGCCATCGCCGCCAAGCACCACGGCATCCCGTTCTACGTGGCGGCGCCCAGCACGTCCTGCGACCTGAGCCTGGAGACCGGCCGCGACATCGTCATCGAGGTGCGCCCCCCCGAGGAGCTGACCAGCATCAACGGGGTCCCCATCGCCGCCCCAGGTACGAAACCGCCACTAAACCGCCATTAGACCGCCATTAGACCGCCATTAGACCGGTATTAGACCGGCATTAAACCGCCATTAGACCGGCATTAAACCGGCATTAAACCGGTATTAGACTGTAGGGATGGGAATCTTCACCACCAAGGCGATACGATACACATCCAACGATTCGATACATTCACGATTCATGGAATTTCTAGTGATAAGATTCGATACGATTCTTTAACCTCCTGCAATCCGGTGCGATACAGAACGATCTAAATTTAAAATGCTGCGATACAGTGCGATACGATACGATGCGATGCAATGCAGAAGAAAAGTACACCATGGACTACTACATAGTTCAAGTTATGGCACGCAAGCTAACTGTGCCTTTTATTTTGAAACAAAGGAAGTGCAACTTAGAGAGTGATTGTCTCTCCATCTCGTTTGTAGAAGCCAAAGTTTTTCCATACCGTTGACCTAAAGCGCGTAACCGAATGTATTATCTCTGTTTCGTTTTCCTCCATGCTAACGTGGTTTCTAGCTTGCCGCCTCTGTCCTCTTCGAAAGCAAGTTTAGACCCTCCTACTCGCGCGAGGCTTGGGGCGAGACTTGAGTGGCAGAGAGACTAGCATGCACGCAGTAGGCAGGCAACAGGGATGGAAAGAAACGCAACTAAAACTCAAAGACACGTTTCTAAAAAGTTATAATAATAAAAGATGATAATCGGTTTGTATCGATGCAAGTAGTTTTGATACGATGCATCTCGAGTTTATGTGCGGTTTTTACCGATGCAGACGTTTGCAAATCGATGCAACCGTATCGCACAGGTCGTTCCGATACGCATCGGTGAATCTTGCCATGCCTATTAGACCGGCATTAGACCGGGGATAAGGCCTAAACAGGGAGGGAGATAAGAGTAATGTCACACAGAGGCTTTTTGTGTAGTCATATATGTATTATAAATCATATAGATGCTTTTTCTATGAATAGATGTGTTGTTATATTTCATATAGAAGTTTGTTATAAGTTATATAAAAAGTTTTTATATAGCTTTTTACTATTATATATCATATAGAGACGTTTTATGTAGATGGATGTATTATGATATATAAAGAGTTTTTATATAGCTATATATTCTTATATATTATAAAGAGGCGCTTTATGTAGATCGATGTAGTATGTTATAGAAAGTTTTTACATAGCTTTTTACTATTATGTCATATAGAGGCGTTTTATGTAGATGGATGGTTTTTTTAAATAGATAGATGTATTATTATGTGTTTTATGTAGATGGGTGATATTATTTTTCAGGATTTTTCAGGCCGTTAGTGGCTTTTTGTCCAGACATTTGGGGGCTTAAACAGGTGAAGGTGGACTCTGTTCTGGTTTGACTTCCGGCAGCTGATTGGCTGCTTCTCTAATTAAGATCTGAGGCCGATGACATCACAGTAATTAAACCGATTGGAGGGAGGACGCTCTCTGGGGGGGTTGTTCTCCCCTCTATATTTATCTCTTCTCTCATAGCCATCGTTTAAATCTCCTCTCATTTATTTTTCCATCTATATTAAAGTCTAAAGTACCGGCTAAGTTTTTATTTAATTAATGATTCTGGATGAAGGCTGAAATGAGACGGAGACAGAAGTCTGAGAGCTTTTTTCAGACCGTTTCACTTTGGGGTTTGTTGGTTTTGGAACTAGGTTCTGGCAGCAGAACTTTATAATCTGGCGCTCTGTGTATCTGGAGCAGAGATTTGTGGTGGTACGCTGTTAGTTTCTTTATCAAACACTAAATAAACACATTGTCCAGTTAATTCTGGGGGTTAGACAGATTATTAGTTTCTTAGGTATCTTTTCTATAGAGGAACTACGAGAACTATGTCAAATTCATCTGTTATTCTTTAGCTTCATCATTTTGACTTTGTCATGATTTAGTTTTTTTTTTTTACTGCATATAATAAAACATAAAACCTTTTGTAACTTGGTAAAAAAAAGCGCAGATGGTTTTGAGTTGGTTTGTTTTTACCTGGTTCAGGTCGTTGCTTTTCAGTTTGTCCAACACGTTTTGCTTTTAAACTTTTTGGTTCCTGTTGAACATCTGAACCATTTCATTAGTCGCTTTGACCCTTTTGTGGAGTAAAAAGTGTTTCCCATCCTGCATTTAAAAAAAAAAATTTTTTTAAGGCATTTAAGGCACTTAAGCAGCTTTTTGATTGGTTTAGACAATAAACAATGAACCTTTTTTGGCCTCTAACAGAACATTTTGATCCAGAGGATCCAGCTGTGAGCCGAGGAGACAGAAATCAGGTTTTCTTCAGGGTTTCAGCTTATAGATTTCATTGATAATGAGCCAGTTTTCCACAGCAGTGAAATATATTACAGGAAATGTCAGATCCTGAACTTCTATAACCTGCCCGTCTGCACCCCCCCAGTTAATTCTGGGGGTTAGAAGACAGATTATTAGTTTATTTGTATCTTTTCTCTAGACGAACTATGGGAACTATGTCAAATTGACCTCATCTGTTATTCTTTATGCTTTATCTGGACCCGTTTGATAACCGGCCCGTCTGCACCCCCCAGATTTTTGATTATTAAACCAATAATTGGACAGATTATTGGTTTATTTGTATCTTTTCTATAGAAGAACTATGTCATATTGTCCTCACCTTTTATTCTTCATGCTTCAGGCATCGAGGTGTGGAACCCGGCCTTCGACGTGACTCCTCACCAGTTGATCACGGGGGGAATCATCACAGAGTTGGGCGTCTTCCTGCCGTCGGAGCTGCAGGCCGCGCTAACGGGCCGCCTCACCGCCCTCTAGGGGGCGCCACACCCCCCCCCCCACAAGCCACGCCCCCACACCCCCGTCTGCACGGAGCGCGCACAGTCTGTGGTTTCATTTGGTTTCTGTCACACGCCGAAGAAAAGAAGAAGAAAAAAAAAAAACTCACCGCAGGGAGCCGAGCAAACGCACACCAGCAGGTTTTTGGCTCCTGAATCCCTCCTCCTTCCTCCCCCCTTCACTTTCTTTAAACGGCTAAATTCCATTTGGCAAAAAAAACTACAAATCGTTTTGAATCTCCGCTGAGTTTTCCGGCTAAATCTGGAAGCGGTCGGCCTCTAAAATGCTGCTACTCGCCTGTAAATACCCGAATCCCTGCCGGTGGCGTGTACATATGTAGAAAACTAACCTCCGCTAGTAGTTAAAGGTACTGCTATTTTAACCAAATATGTGGTTATTTCGAATCAAATTTTCCATCTAAAATGTTATATTAACATTTCATTTCTAATGTTTCGTGTCTAACTTTTCCTTTTGTAGAGGACTAATCCAGTTTACGCCTCATAGACTTCCACACACAGACGTAGTATTTCACCTTTTTTATGCTTATTCTTCGTCTTATTATTATGATTATTATTATTATTAACCCCAAAGCAAAAAAAAGAGAACAAATCTTGATAATCAGACGCCTTTTGTAGTACACGGCTGCATTAATGCCTGGCTCCCTGCTGTATCATAGCTCACCTGTACTCTCACATTGGACTCGTATTCACATTTGTACAGAAACACTCACGTCCTCAAAGACCGTACGCAGAGATTCAGCATCTCTGCGTTTTTGTACCGCAAACCGAAGAGAAAATCCACCCCAAAGCGAAGGCTTTACCACAGAATGTCGTTATGTCTTAAAATCAGGATTATTACTAATGATTTCGAGGTCGATTTTTGCTCAAAAGACAGAAAAAAACTATTTGGCAACGTCTTCATTTCCCTTATTTTACAGTTTTTGTCTTAACACAGAACCAGTGTTAACATAGTATTAATACAGCAATAATTGGAGTAAATGTAGTGTATTGGGTCAATTAAAAAGCCCACAGAAATGCCTCGACCCCCTTTAAAGCTTTTCTCCGAAGGCCTGAGGGTGCAGGTGCTGATCGGGTTTTAGAGAACAGCTAAAGTTAATCTGTGAACGGGTTCATTCACACAAACGAGGGAGGGAACCGTGGGCGACCCGGGCCTCGTTTTGGGGTGAGCTCTTCTCTTTTTGTTTCCACGCGTCGGCATCTTCCTGTTGAATGTCAGACCTCCACACACCCGAATGTGCTTCGGCCGTTTGTAAATGAAAACCTGTCCCAGCTCCAGATATGAAACAGCTGGCCCCTGAAATCAGAGCCAGATTGTTACTGCCTTCACTACCTCTGGTTTTAAGACCGATTTAAGGTGTCTGTGAGAAGTTTGAGACCAAACGGTAACTGACACGTGAGCCCCCCCCCCCAGGCCTCTGTCTGAGGACACACCTCCCATCAGACAGACTGTTATTCAGCCCATTTGAGCTTTTCTCAACTCTCAGTCTCAGAGCGAAGCCAGTTCATTCGTCAACCTGAAACGTCTCCCGGTTAAAAGGGTTAAGACCCAGTTTGGTTTTGTTTTTTTATCCGGCTCCACATCACAGGCGTCGGCATCTCGAAGGCCGTAAAGATTCAGTCCATCTCCAGCCGATGCACCCGTCAGCCAATCAAATACGAACAAAGAGACCGTTAAAAACATGTAACTGACTGGTTCTCCCCCTGAGATGCACAGGGTGACTGTGGGAAGAAAAACTCCCTCTGAACAGGAAGTGCTCTACTGGGAAAAATCCAGCTATGAGCTCATTAAGACTATGGGGTCATGCATTTCCGATCCGATCCCCCCCTATCAGATAGTTTAAAGTTATTTATCTACTTACTTAGTTGACAGACTCCTGTTGAACAGGGATTTACTCTGATAACAACTAGCAGCTGAATTAGGGGAGTATGAATAACACACAGTGGTTGGTAAAGAGACACTGACCTGTTTATTCAGGGATAAACACAAAATGAGATAAATCATAAATAACAAACGGAAACGGCATCAGTGAATAGTAAAAAGTGCAAATAATATTGTAATCTGTATTAAAAAGGCAAAACACACAAACAACCTGAATAGAAAATAGTCTGTTTTACATCCACCTCTTTCTTTTTTTGCAAATATTGGCGATCCGATCCAAATATTGGACCGGGACGAGCGTAGGTTATTTGTTTTAAATGATGGATGTAACATTGGGCTGAAAAATAGAAGCTTATACTGGAATAAAGATGTCTCCAGCTGGATTGACCAGAGGCTGCTCGGCCACTAGATAAGAATTAGTTGCAGAAATGCGGAATTAACAAACCCGAGCGGTCTGTGTCATGTAGCCCGCAGAAAACTGGACTAATGAAGTCTTTTATTCCTCTTTGTGTGTCTTTGTCAGACATTTCCATTCACACAATCAGCTCTGCACTTTTTGTTGAGTTTTTTTTAAATCTTGTGAGCCATCTAACGGGCATCACCAGCATATTAAGGCAGGGGGAGAAATAAGAAAAGAGGGGGAAACCGGATAAAAATGATCTGTTACAGTGATTTAATGTGCTCGTGTTCGTCCAGATGGATTTAACTGTTATGAGTTGTAAAGGTCAGATGGGAACTCTTCAATGAGGTCAGAGTGATGTTCAAAGCCTTTTGTAAAAAAAAGAAATCTGGTTAAGGCTCAAACAGAAGCTAAAGTCACTACTTCTTTCATTTTTTTTGTTGGCGTTTTTGTAAAATAATAAGAAATAATAACCTTTGTTATGGCCGTCGTGCATGTTTTACTTTATAAATCCACTTTTGAGGCTTCGAGAAACTCAAACAGCTCCACAACTCACAAAAACGATTAGTTTCAAACCCGTTTCAGGACGGGGAAGCAGAAAACGGTAGCTGTGACACAGTTTGGCCTTTTCAGGTCTCTTTTAAAGCCCCACGGGGGGGGGGGGGGGGGGGGGGGGGCAGACAGGTGTAGGCCAGCCTGTAGTTCTGTACAGTTAAAGACTTTTTAGCGTTTCGGGGCAGTTTTAGTCGATGCTCCACACACATGTAGCAACGTAGCGACACTTTTTTGTTTTCATCTCCCCCTTTTTCTTAAAAAAAAAAAAAAAAAAAAGCTTTTAAGACGTACGATGTCTTAATTCGTCTGTCCGTCTTGTTTTGAACCGTCTGGCTGTGGTTTGTGGTTTTAATTTCCTAGTGATCAGGCCATTGGAACGCCACAGAGGAGAGGCCTCCTCGACCATACACGCTACCTCTCCGTCCGGACTCCAAGTGGACGCACTCAGAGCCCCGCTGTAAAAAAAAAAAGAAAAAAAAACCCGGCCTGCTATCCTCCACGACTCTTTCTTTTTAATGTCTCGGTCCGAAAAGGACGGTGCGAGGCGGCGCTTTTCGGTTGGCCGTTTGAGTTTCCTTCCTTTGCACCGCGTTCAGTGCACCGTATCTGAGATGTTGCACATCCAAACACGGGGAGAGGTCAAAGGTCAGGCGTCCAGATCCAGGTTCCTGGTTCGGGTGGGGGGGGGGGGGGGGGGGGTTGTTCAGATGGCCTCTTTAGGAGCAAGTACGTCATTGTTGTTACTCACTGGATGTTTAATTTTTGTAACATGTGAAAATGGTTCAGAACTGAACTTTTTAAAGTATATATACGTATATGAATATATTGCTGTAAAGTGCAGTCATGAATTAAGAGATTTCTCTTTCACATCAATCCAGATTGACGAATAAAACCACAGTGAAAATATCTCAGTGTTTCCTTTGGGTCATTTCGGTCAGAACCAGCCGGTCGGTACTCACTGTGAGTGGACGGCTAAACTAGATGATACCTGCGGTATCTGATTTCAGCTATTTTTTTTCCCCCTTTAACACAAAACGGCTTTAAATTCTGTCCTTCTGACTTGTTTGTGCTGAGCGTGCACATTGGCATCCTCAAAAGTGTTTGATTTAATGAGCTGTCAGTCAAGGAGCTTGTAGTTGTTTTACCAGTAAAGGTTTTTTTTTTTTTTAATCTTTTATATATTTATAATACATTCACTATATTTTGTATCTGTTAACAAAAGGGTTGAGTTAGCTTATTTTTCACACAAGGTGACTTCTCAGGCTGATGGGGAGTTTTTAAAAAAAAAACTTTTCACACATCTGCAATTAAGAGATCAGAAACTCTGATAATGTGAGATCAAACTTAAATATTAATAGAAGATATATTCAAATAATGCTTGCTAATGCAGTCTTAAATCGATCCTTTAGATTTGTAAATGTGACAAATGACACTACCACTTATAAACAGAAGATGGCGCCAATGAGACAAAAAGGAGTAAAACGCTTTTAAATACGAAGAAGAAGCGGTAGTAACAGGAGAAGAAGAAGAAGAAAGTACTTCCTGTGTTTCCGATGATGTAAAAATGGCCCAAGGAGCAAAGAAATTTAAAGCCCAGCGTCCGGGAGCGGCCAAAAAAACCCAACAGAACAAACAGAAAGGACCCAAAAAAGGAGGTGGCGTTTCGTTCATTACTGTAACCTGAATTTGTAAAGAAAAATGTTGTGTCGACTAAGCTACTTACGGTTAATCACCTTAAATGCGACCAAACACGTTTTCTTACTGCAGAAATGTATCATAACCACGTGTTTAATACAGGTTTAGATTCAGATTTATGATTCAGAGTGTTTTAAATGTGTAAAATACAACTTTAGACGAATAATGACACGTGTCAGTTTCTAAACACATTAAAGTATGTTTAAACGATAAAGTAAGTCCACTTTTACTCCTTCCACGAGATAAATTATATGGATTTATGTCAGTTATGTGTCTGTTAACACGACGCCAAGGAGGAAAGACACTAGAAATACCTGTAAATTGTGATCAAATATATTGTGTGTGGGTGCTTTCCAGCATGTGAAGTTTTGTTTATGCCAAATGAATGTAATAATTCAATAATTCGGTCTATTATCTTAGTTTTAGGATTAAAGTAGGAAAATAGAGGAATTATTTAGCTAACTAAATTTACCAGTATCCACAGGATCTACAAGAGAGTTTGTCTTGTAATCTGTTTTGTTGTTTCCTTTTGCAAAGGGAGGATCATTGCACCTAAGAAAGCTCAAGTTGTCCAGCAGCAGAAGCTGAAGAAGGTGAGGGGAGAGTTTTGATTCCACAAAATCCTGCCTGAGCGACTACTTAAACCCCACATTTACCTTTAAAACCTGCTGTTCCCCGAAGGGTCTGGAGGTCGCCATCAGGAACAAGATCGAGCAGGAGGTGACCCAGAGGGCCAGCTCCTCCCTCCATAAACCCCTGTCCGTGGTGAAGGGGGCCGAGGGAAAAGGACCCCCAGGAGCTCCCCGTCCTGGAACCTCCAAATAGACCCCCCCGCCCCCCAATAATCTCATGATGTTGTAATATAACAATGGACATGGACCCACACATAGGCCCCCACTGGATTTTATACTTTGTGTGAATATTAAAATACAAAGAAGCCACGTTTTAATTATTCCACTGTGTATAAATTAGGCTCTGTTGTGCTGTTTGGGGGGGTTAATTATCCCAAACCAATGCAACAATTAGCTGTTTTTCTGTGTCCGAAGGGTCCAAATATTAGTTTGCATCAAGCAAACAAAACATACTCGTACAGAAATAACTCAAACTACCAAAACTGGGTTAAGTTTTCTCAGACACAGGAGTGGTCCACCTGACAATAGACGAGTTTAAAAAGACAGAAGTCTGAAACAATCAATTTATTCAACGTTTGGTCAAATAAAACAACAGTGTTTGATAATGAGAGTGCACCAGATTTCAAACCAGCACCAAAAAAGCCCACGACACGCTCTTTCATCAGGATTTTATTTAGATATCTCTAGCTTACAGTGGTTCAGAGGGGTCAGAAGTACGAGGCTAAGCTGTGACCCCAGCATGCAGCAGGCCCTGGTCTATAGCACCCCTTAAAGACTCGGCTGTTTAAAACCCCGGACAGAAAACAGTCACCGTGTCGGCGGTCGTGGCTAAAGTGGGTTCTCAGAAGGCCCTGAGGGCCTCCGGGCAGTGGGGGGAGCGCAGGAAGCGGGGGAAGGAGTCTTTGGCCATCAGGCTGTAGATCCTCTGCTGGGCCTCCTTAAACGTGTGGCCGCACGGGGAGTCCATCACGTCCAGGAGGGCCTCGCGTGTCTCTGCGTCCAGGTTCACCTGCAGAGGGCCGGTTAGCGTTAGCTGTTTATGTTTCTGTTTATGCATTTGGCAGACGCTTTTATCCAAAGCGACGTACAGAGTAGAAACAATATTACATTTCTCATCACTATGACAATAAGCTATACAGAGGAGAAACACTGATCAGAGTCAGTGGTGAGATAGAGATAGAGGTAGAGGGACTACAGAAGGAGCTGTGGGGGGGTAGAGGTACGGGTTAGGGTTAGGATAGGAGCTGTGGGGGGT